TTTCACACCTATTAATTAACTATAATATCATCATTATAATATATCTTTCATTATTATATTCTTTATATTATATTAATTTATAAATATTTTTTCTTCTTTTTTCTCCTCTTCCTTTCTTTCCTTTTTTTATCTTTCTTTTCTTTTTTTTTTTTTTTTTTTTTCTTCACATTTCCATTGATAAAAGGATTCATTAAATAATATCATTTTAATCAAAATTAAATGTCGATTAAAGATCACAAAAATGAACGTCAAAATATCTTTCGAAGTTTATCGAGGAAAATTCATAAAAATGATATACAACAATATTTAGAATTTACGATTAGAGAAAATTTTCCGCCTCGTCCCTTCCATCCCCTCTTCTGAATTTATACGTTTGAAGGGTTACGATGTCTCGGATTGTTAGTCACGAGACAATTTCTTATTACTGTTTGATGGGGAAAAGAAAGAAAGAAAAAGAAAAAAAAAAAATAAAAAAGAAAAAGAACAAGAAATGAGATGATTGAAAAAAGAGAAAGAAAAGAAAATCAAGAGAGAGAGAGAGAGAGAGAGAGAGAGATGGAAATCTATTGGAATGATCGTTCGACGCGGGACAAGAGATGATGCCCAAGAGTAGAGGAGCCTCTCTCGATTCTTTTCGCCAACGTAGGCGGCTCCAAGTGTAGGTACGCAGATCTCCGATGAGAAAATGACCCCGGCTAGGAACATACCTACGTATGTACGTATATACGTACACACACACACACACACACACACACACACACACACACACATATATATATATATATATATAGATATGTGCGAGTAAACTATATAGGGGTCTAGTCGTTCTTATACGTGTTAGTTTCAGCGTTATAAGCGATGCTGATGTTGTCTGTTGCTACAGAGGAACGATAGTACACACTCACACACACACACACATATATATATATATATAAAATATAGATATATATGTATATATATATATAAATGGTGTTTAGGTATATAGCGTGTCGTGTGGCATGTCCGTGACACAAAGGTGATAGTGTAGTTGGCAATGGTGTAGTGGTAACGCGTGTGGCGTAGGTGATGGCAAATGTCCAGTTGTGATGGTGGGAGTACCGCAAAGGGTCAATCCACGAGTCTAGCGTTTATATTGTGAAGGTAAGACTTCGAGAGGAGCTCTCCGGGTTCACAGCCTCGGCGATGTTCGAACACTTAATGGCCGGAATTTGTCTGGCACGGCAGGTACATACACGACCGCTTGTGCTCTTCTTGCACGCGGACTCACTGAATTCTACTCTAGTCTAGTCTACTCTACTCTACTCTACTCTACTCTACTCTACTCTACTCTACTCTTCTCTAAGTACTTTACTTTGTGCACGATCTTTAAAGAGAAAGAGAGAGAGAGAGAGAGAGAGAGAGAGAGAAAGAGAGGACACGTTTTATCTCTTTCTTTTCTTCTTGGCTCTTCTTTTTACTTTTATTTATTTATTTATTTATTTATTTATTTATTTTTTTTTTTTTTATTTATTTTTACGTATGTATTCATTTAATTATTTATTTATTTATTTATTCTTTTTTTATTTCTTTTTTTTTTTCGATAAGAAGTCTTATTTTGTTAGAGGTTGTTATTATTATTTGTTCTTTTTTTTTTGTTTCTTTTTTTTTGTTTCTTTTTTTTTTTTTTTCTTTTTTTTCTTCTTAATTCTAGGGGCATTTAACATATATTTGTATTGTAATATCGTAAATTAAAGGTTTTTTTTTTATCGTCGTATTCGTCATATGTATTTTTTCTTTCCTTTGATATACATATTAATTTCTTAATCTTTGTACTTTTTTTCTTTTTTATTTTTTTGATATATCAGAAGTCCTTGCCTTGATTCTTGTTTTTCTTTTTCTCTTTTTTTTTTTCTCTCGATTTCTTTTTCTCAAGGGAATCGTAATTTTGTAAGAGTATACTTTTCTTTCTCTCTCTCTCTCTCTCTCTCTCTCTCTCTCTCTCTCTCTCTCTCTGTTTCTCTCTTTTACTTCTTCTTTTTCCTTTAATTCCAGAATCATTTAATTGGCATGTAATAATCAAGGTTTTATATCGTGCTCATTATATTTTTTGATTGATACGTATTAATCTTTTTAATTGTTAATTTTTTAATTTTTCTTTATATATAATAGTTATAGTATTTTTTTTTCCTTTTTTTTTTTCTTTTTTTTTTTCTTCTCTCTTTCAACCTTTCTCCTTTTCAATCGTAAGAGATCGTGCGATTTATACGTACAGATAATCATTTATTCGTCGATATCGGCGACGAATATTATTTTATTTGTTACGTGAATAAAAAAAAATAAAAAAAAAAAAAAAAATAAAAAAAAAGAAGAACGAGGATCTTAAGTCGATAATTAAAATTCAATTAAATCCATCACATCTATCTCAACTTGTTACTTTAATTAATAACAAATTGATATGTAACATAAGAAAATTAATTGTGATTGAGAATTAATTAATCCTTCTTTTTTTTTTCTTTTTTCTTTTTTATAACTAATAACGAACAAACAAACAACGATCTCGCTTATCCTTT